AATGTGAATGTAATTTGTTCTTTCATAGCATCTAGCACCTTGGTAATATACTGAAGATCATAGAGTGCATATTATCGATTCATCTTTGGTACGCCCATTTATTTTCGAGATAATGCTTGAACCTGAGAAAATGTTGACATTGATTTCGTAAGAGAAGAGTTTAAAAAAGTCATACTGTCTGACAATGAGAGAGCCGAGACAGTTCGCAACAATTTATCTCTACAATAATATTATATTTTTTTGAATACCTCGTTATATTTATTTCATTCATACTGCTGATTTGACGACAAAATATTCTAATGAACTGCTCGTATAGAGCGTTACAGCCACGACCTGCGTACTTCGAATAAAGATCTTGTAATACAACAGACGCCAGTGCAGATAAATTGTTGTTCGTATTCGAAATAGGATAGAAGTGATGAATTTGAATAGAATAAGCTTTCATTTTGATCTGTAAAACGCTTGTACGAGCCGTTTCTCAGCTAGGTTTTCCAGCTTTTAATTGTTTTTGATGAATTTCGCAAGAACAGCTATACAAATCAGACAAATAATGTATGATGCTATGAGCGAGACAATATTTACGCTCTCTTACAAGTCTCTGAAATGCTTCCACGGTTTTTGAAAATCAAGACAGTAGATGCAATGATTCAAATGGGGATATAGCTCGATTTCGTTTAACTCAATTCGATTCAGTGTGATCCCGTCGGATTACATAGAATCGAATCGTCGCAATTTCTACTTAATTTCGGTCTCTGATGGATACAAAAGTTTTGCCATCAAACATTAGCTTTTCAAAGAAAAAAAAATCTGATGTCAGAACATTTGAGGTTCCTCCTCTACTTCAAAACCCTGCTTAGACCTCGCCTAAAGCATAAGTGCATCCAATTCTACATCAGATTCCATGTGCGACCTACAATTATCTCCCTCGTGTACAAAAAATTTTCTATGTATGTGTGTGTGTAGTGGCGAACACTTTGATTACAACGACAATGCTAACTACAAGGGAAGTGTCAACTTCTACAACAACTACAACGCTAATGCCAACTACAACGACAATGCTCACTACAACGACAACTACAACCACTACTCAACAGTTAGGTAAGCATTATCTTAATGGTTTTTTTTCTTTGTTAATGCTAATTTTTAATCAAATACATATAGTTCCTTTGTTTACAATATTACTCTATAATTAGATGATGGTAACATTGAGAAGATTAGCAATCTTCTGTACGCTTTATGCATGTCACTTACTGCATATAAATCAACTAAGAGTACGAAACACATGCAGAAACATACTAATTTGTACTTACAAAGGTCTTTATAATAAATATTCACTAAAAGTGCATACAATCCTCAAATATGTTAACAACAGCAGACCGTTCGGATTATTAAAGATATAAGGATACTCCTTGATGTTCTACGAAAATCACGATTGAAAAATAAGGAATTCAAAAACTGTCAAATGCTTGAATTCCTGTGATCTGTTTTGAAGCGACATGTATTCGATGGTCTCTTTTTATTTCATTCAAATCAGTTTTCAGACACAAAAGTGAACAACGGGATCGCTTTCAAAGTTTAAAGCGTTTCACTTCATATTCACTCATGCGCTTAATGTTCTTTGCACGAAAGATATATCTTGTGTTCAGGACACTTCATAGTTTTCTTTCAGTTTCCAGAGTCTTTCAACTTCTTACTTTCGTTTGAATCTTGCCATATTTTGTACTCTAGATTCCTTCAAATATCTTGAATCTTTTGGAATCCTCCGATTTTCGAGTTTTTGTTTTCGCTATTCCTTTGAAGTTCTTGTATTTTCTAAATTCCCTCACAAGATTGCATGCTAGAGATTTACCCGATACTATCATTTTTTTTCAATTCTTTTGATTCCATCTTATTTTATGGAATCTTTCTAACTTATGGACTCCTTGCAGTTTTCAAGCAACTTGAATTCCTTGAATTCCTACGATAGTTTGAACTGCTTAGATTTATCAGAGTCCTTGGATCTTACAGATTCTTCAAGCTTCATAGATTGCTTCAGTTCATTAATTTCCATCTCTTGATTTAATTCCTTCGGTTGCCAACATTTCGTAGAATCTTCTTTATACAAAAAAAAAAAGAAAATTTTCATAAAATTTTGTTCAAAGAAAATATTGTGTGTATAGGGAAGTTATTTTTTTGAAAAAATAAGCTTTCAAACAAAAGAACAATATTTAAGTTTATCTGTTATTGTTATACAATATCACTAGAGATGCATCATCCAAAAACATAGTGTATGAAAAAATTGCCCGATTATGAAAAATGCACATAGCTTATAACTGATACACTCGTAGATTGATTTTTCCGACGTTCGATTATGCAGCGTTTGAATATCAGCAGCCCAGTTATTATTAAAAGATTTTCAGTTTCATCGACTGCTTCCTTTTTTATTTCACGGTACTGGTTTTAGTTCCAGCACACGTATCGGTTTAATTTTTTTCGTAATCACCTTGCTCTACCTATCACTTACGTTTATATGATCGCAACAGATCTGGATTAGTTTTATTTATAGACTGCTCTAATTTCATAGCAGAATAAAAAGTCAATCTTTAACAATTATATAAAAAAAAAGGATATTCTTAAATACTAGGTGGATCGTACGGGCAAGTTGATATATGCTTGCTTAACTGGTTTGTGTATTATTTTGCTCAATTTTTAAAATTTCATTCTGATCTGTTTGTGATGTAGCATAGTTATCTCTTCTGAAAGTGTGCTGGTTAATAGAATCAATTGAATTATACGAGGATATAATTGTTCTTAGTCTGTTAATGATAATGGCAGTTTTATATTTATGATAATCGAGATGGAAAGAAGTCTTTGTGTTTTTTTTCTGTATTCGGTGATTTGTCGTAGAGATAGACGAATGAATAGATTATACATGAAAGATGAAACAGTCATTGTGATTTGCTAATTTCTTATTTTTTTGCTTTAGCATTGGGTCGTAAGAAAATTTTTTTGCAGCATATTCAAGTTAGCATGTGTATGTAAGAGAGCTAAATAAGAGTAAGAATTTTATGTTAATAATATGGATATTGAAAAAAAGAATAGGTTGTTATGAGTTTCTTTTTCTTTTCAGTTTTCTTGGTGACATCAGCAGAGATGAAGAGGAAATGTAACAGCTATTATTAATAAGTTTCGAGGCTGTTTCGACTAGAAAAAAAAAATACAATAGACATGTAAAAATATGTGTTTATCTGTCATATCTAAATTTTTGATCAAAATTTATCATATTTAACTGATATCTATTGAGAGCGTAGAGTATTAGTAATAATATTACAAATAAATTTTATCAATTTTATGTCTCACTTTAATTTTATAGTAACTATCTCAAACTATAAGACTTCATAAGAGCATAAAATGATAAAAGATGTCATAGCGAATTTTTTATTCGAACCAAAAAGAAAAACGAGTGGAAAATACAAAGAAAATGCAGGCAGTTTTAGATCCTACTTTAGATATTACAATTGTACAATTTTTTTCATGTCTGTTCAATTTTTTATATATTTGATACAATAGAAAGAAAAAAAAACTCAAAAGTGTCCGCAATCTATCAATCAAATCTTTATATACAGAACATACAAAAGTTCGATCAAGTTCTTAAACGCAGAATAATGTCTATTTTATGCCTTTTCATATTAGTAAATGTTCGATTTTATTTTTTCAATTGAAATATATCCTTTGAGAGAACAATCGTGTATTTCTGATCTACGTTACTTGAAATAAGATTTCCATGAATTATTTCCATCTACATCCTAATACTGTAACTAGTATTCTCAGCTGAAGTTCATAGACATTATTCTAACATATCCAGATGACACATTGTAGTAGACCCTCTCAAAATCTTTATAATAGCTTATCGTTACTCCTTTCCACTTTTCCGATTAAGAATCTGCATTTCATATCACAAAAAAAGTCCTCACACAGTATTTCTAGAAAGCTAATTAAATTGTTATGTTTCCCCATAGACAGCTTGGATAAAATTACCATTATTCCTCTGAGTAAGTCAAAAGCAGAAGGCGTCTGATTCCAAAAATACCCCTGGAATTCTGTCAAGTTTTCTCTATTTCGTATGTATTCAAGTTTTTTTTATAATTCTACTACGATTCTAGTAGAACCCTCTTTCGAACAGCTTGACTTAAGTTGGTAAAAACTTGTACTTGATCACGAATTGCTTCGGACGTTGTGAAAAGTATACTAAAAGGTTCATACTGATTATCATGCACAATAGTTTCGCAGGAACTCGAAATCTTGACGTTTGAGATCCTTCTAGCAAGATTGTCACAGAATATTTTAAGGATTCTTCGACTTTGGAGTCTAATTGAGTTCAAGTTTTCATTGCATAAGTCCCTCAAGGATTTAATCGCGCGAAGTTTCTGAATTAAAAATTACAAATTAACTCATGAGGTCACTATATTTTCGTATCGAGAGCATGAATACAAGTATCATTCATCTTCTCAGAATTCGAAAAATGCTTCTTCCTAACCGTCTCAAATTGGAGGTGTTATTTTAATTTGATGATTCTACTCTTTAGGATCTAGAAGACCTTGGTGGAAATATGAAAAAATTCCTGCAAATACGTAATGTCAAAAACTGTACAAGATTGAAGTTGGGAAGTGACATAATGGCAAGAATCGTTCTGAAGTCTTTTGTATAGGAAACTAGGATAGGTTTCCAAATAATATCTCCAGTAAAAACATTCTTGAATGTTTTACCGAATTCCCTCGAGGAAGAATATCTCATTTGTAACATTTTTCTCCACGAAAGAAAGATAGATATCTTCGACAGCGACGAAAACGATTCCTTTTTTCTCGTTCATTGTAGTGATTCCAAATATTTCAGTCGATGCCCAATGGGTACAGGATGGAATGACCGTGGCTGGAGGTCACGGATCCGGTGATGGCATCAATCAGCTGAATGGCCCTGAGGGTCTGTTCGTTGATGATGACCAAACGATGGTCATTGCTGACATGGGCAATCATCGTATCATCCAATGGAAGATGAATGATGTGAATGGACAAGTAGTAGCTGGTGGTAACGGCCAAGGAAATCGATTAGATCAATTAAATGAACCAACTGATGTTATAATCGACAAAGAGATGGATAGCTTCATTATTTGTGATCAAAGGAATCGACGAATCGTACGATGGTTTCGTCGTAATGACACAACTGAAGGAGAAGTCCTCATCGACAATATCAGATGTTGGGGGTTGGCCATGGACGATCAGAGATATCTCTACACCTGTAACTTTGAACAACATGAAGTACGACGATATCAAATAGAAGACAAGAATGAAACTATCGTAGCTGGTGGCAATGGCCAAGGTGGTGGTCTCAATCAACTCAACTGGCCATCCTACGTCTTTGTCGATCAACAACAGTCTGTATACGTGTCAGACCGTAACAATCATCGTGTGATGAAATGGAATAACGGTGCAAAAGAAGGAATTATCGTCGCTGGTGGTCAAGGCGAAGGAGCGGCTCTGACACAATTGAACTGGCCAAAGGGACTGTTCGTCGATACGTTGGATACCGTCTATGTAGCAGACGATAAGAATAATCGAGTGATGCGTTGGCCTAAAGGGGCGACGCAGGGCACTGTAATTATGGGTGGAAATGGTGTAGGAGAAGGAGCAAATCAGTTCAAGGGTCCCCAAGGTTTATCCTATGATCGAGATGGCAATCTTTATGTCGTCGAGTGGGGAAATAATCGTATACAACGATTTTCTATCAAATAGACTCATTTCGATGAATTATTTTTTTTTGTTTTCGTCGAATAAATCGCGTCGAATAAATATCATTTTTATTCTATTCGTCCGTATGACTAGAAATCATCCTGGTGGAACCCTGAAGAAAGTGAAGCTTGTGCACATACGGAATGGACTTAAATCATTCATATGAGATGTGTCAATGAGACTGCTGAAAGCTTACGAGGGAGCATTCTCAACTGTCACATCGCTTTTAAGTCGAGAATATGCGCATTATGTAGATCCTAACGATCTATGAATTCTCTGAAAAAAGTTCGTACCGCTAGCTTATTATTGCTGATATACTGCCTTTTTACTGTATGTTTAAGAAAAGAGAGCTGTGGTCCCTCTCAGGAACACTTGGAAAACTGAATTTTGAATTTCAATTTCAAATTTTGCATAGATATAGGGCTCAATGAGAATACTTTATTGTGAAAGTTT